ATGACTATTCATCTATTGTACTTTCATGTAAATAGAGGCAAGAAAGCTCTATGGAAAAATCATGGTTCAATTTGATCTTGTCTAAGGGGGAATTAGAATACAGATGCGGGCTAAGTAAATCAATGGATAGCCTCGGTCCTATTGAAAATACTAGTGTAAACGAAGACCCGACTAGAAATGATACGGATAAAAACATTCATGATTGTAGTGACAGCTCTAGTTATTACAGTAAGGTTGATCATTTAGTTGGCGTCAAAGACATTCGGAATTTCATTTCTGATGACACCTTTTTAATTAAGGATAGTAATCAAGATAGTTATTCCATATATTTTGATAGTAAAAATCAAATTTTTGAGATTAACAATGATCATTCTTTTTTGAGTGAACTAGAAAGTTTTTTTTATAGTTATCGTAATTCTAGTTATATGAATAATGGATCGAAAAGCGATGATCCCCACTATGATTTTAACTTGTATGATACTAACTATAATTGGAATAATCACATTAATAGTTGTATTGACTCTTATCTTCGTTCTCAAATCTGTATTGATAGTTCCATTTTAAGTGGTAGTGACAATTCCAACGATAGTTATATTTATAATTACATTTGTGGCGAAGGTGGAAAGAGTAGTGAAGGCAAGAATTTCGATATAATAACTCGCGAAAATGGTAATGATTTAACTCTAAAAGAAAGTTCTAATGATCTCGATCTATACAAGCATTTGTGGGTTCAATGCGAAAATTGTTATGGATTAAATTATAAGAAATTGCTTAAGTCAAAAATGAATATTTGTGAACAATGTGGATATCATTTGAAAATGAGTAGTTCAGATAGAATCGAACTTTCGATTGATCCAGGCACTTGGGGTCCTATGGATGAAGACATGATCTCTCTGGATCCCATTGAATTTCAGTCTGAAGAAGAGCTTTATAAAGATCGTATTGATTTTTATCAAAGAAAGACTGGATTAACTGAGGCTATTCAAACAGGCACGGGTCAACTAAACGGTATTCCTATAGCAATCGGGGTTATGGATTTTCAGTTTATGGGGGGTAGTATGGGATCCGTAGTAGGCGAAAAAATCACCCGTTTGATCGAATATGCTACCAATAATTTTTTACCTCTTATTCTAGTGTGTGCTTCCGGAGGAGCACGCATGCAAGAAGGAAGTTTGAGCTTGATGCAAATGGCTAAAATATCTTCTGCTTTATATGATTATCAATCAAATAAAAAGTTATTTTATGTATCAATTCTTACATCTCCTACTACTGGTGGAGTGACCGCGAGTTTTGGTATGTTGGGGGATATCATTATTGCTGAACCCAATGCCTATATTGCATTTGCGGGTAAAAGAGTAATTGAGCAAACATTGAATAAAACAATACCTGAGGGTTCACAGGCGGCTGAATATTTATTCCATAAGGGTTTATTCGATCCAATCGTACCACGTAATCCTTTAAAAGGTGTTCTGAGTGAGTTAGTTCAGCTCCACGGGTTTTTTCCTTTGAATCAAAATTCAATCAAGTAGAGTCTTAAGTTAAATTATTTTCTTTGTAGTGAAAAGGCAGTTAGTTAGTTTATCAGAATCAAAGTCAAAGCCCATTACGCGGGCTTTGACTTTGTGACATAAAATGGAATTGTCGAAAAACAAATTTTGTGGATAATTATTATTATCCGATATTACTAATGAGTAAACCTCTATCAACAAGATAAAAAGCGAATTTTTCCTTCTGTGAAATGAAATTCGAATTTGGCGAGACAAATAAAACGAATTTTATCTTCCTCTATTGCTTGCGTATGTATATATAATTCAAATATAGAAAAAATAGAATATAAATATAGAGTTTTGCATCTTTCTATATCTCCCGAAAATTCTATTTTTACTAAAAATCCCTGTTCTTGGATCGGATTCTAACGAATCGAATCTTTCGACAATTTGTAATAAACTCGTTCTTTATTAAATTCTAAAATGAAAATTAGAAATTAAAATTAGAAGACAAGAACAATAGAATAATAAGAAAAGTAAGAATAAAGTAAGATAATAAAGAAAGTGGATTATCTTATCATACACCTATTTTATTTGATTTAGAAAGATGGGCAAGTCCTTTTATTTAATTCTACATTCCTTGCACTTATTAGATATCTAGACTCGCTTAGAAATACTTAGTATTTAGATATATTTAGTATAATATACGAATTATAATATAATCATTATAAGATATATTTCTAACTAACAATATAACAGGTACAAATATTAAATTGAGGTACCCATTTTATGACAACTTTCAGCAGCTTTCCCTCTATTTTTGTGCCTTTAGTAGGCCTAGTATTTCCGGCAATTGCAATGGCTTCTTTATCTTTGTATGTTCAAAAAAACTAAGATTTTTTAGATTCGATGGGGCCAAGACCAAATCTTATCTATTTTTTTTTTCAAGACTTAGATGCCACGGATACCTATTTAGTAGAATATTGTATAACATCCGGCTTTTCCGAACCGAACATAAATGAAACCTCTTATGCATACGTAAACATGATATAGGGTTAAATGAATTATAGCAAGTACCGAACGGATGTATGAAATTAAAGTCTATATATCTAGTAGATCTGTATAGGGGATCATATAAAAGGGGATGATTTTAGATCTAAGCAATTTGATGAATTCCTTCTAAAAGTTCATATCAAAATAGTACTAGTTGATGAGAGTTACTTCGGAAACAAAAAAAGTAAAGTCGAATTTTTTTGGTTATTCTCTCAATTCCAATAAAATGCAACTGGATCTAGTATGTATGAGTTGGCGATCAGAATCTATATGGATAGAATTTATAGTGGGGTCTCGAAAAACAAGCAATTTCTGCTGGGCCTTTATCCTTTTTTTTGGTTCATTAGGGTTTTTATTAGTTGGAACTTCTAGTTATCTTGGTAGGAATTTGATATCTTTATTTCCGTCTCAGCAAATAGTTTTTTTTCCACAAGGCATCGTAATGTCTTTCTATGGGATCGCAGGCCTCTTTATTAGTTCCTATTTGTGGTGCACTATTTTTTGGAATGTGGGCAGTGGTTATGATCGATTCGATAGACAAGAGGGAATAGTATGTATTTTTCGTTGGGGTTTTCCTGGAAAAAATCGTCGCATCTTTCTACGATTCCTTATGAAAGATATTCAGTCCATCAGAATAGAAGTTAAAGAGGGTATTTATGCTCGTCGTGTCCTTTATATGGAAATCAGAGGCCAGGGGGCCATTCCCTTGACTCGTACTGATGAGAATTTGACTCCGCGAGAAATTGAGCAAAAAGCTGCTGAATTGGCCTATTTTTTGCGTGTACCGATTGAAGTCTTTTGAAATGAATTTGCAGAATAAATGCTTTCTCGCCAGGAGGAAAAAACTCAAGTCAAGAATCCTCTTTTTTCTATAGCAGAACTAAACTGAAGTCTATAGCAGAACTAAACTGAAGTTTCTTCAGAATGCCCATTCGAACCAAAGCAGACGTATACGGAAGAGTCATAACATAAAAAAAGTTTTTTGTCCACAAAAATTGTTTTTTATGCGTCTGTAAAACCACTCAACTTAATCTTAATTCAGTAACAAAACAAGGAAGAAATCGAAATAATGGATTTGTCTCATATATCAAAGTATTTCGAAATAAGGACTTTCTATTTTTATTATTTTTATTTTCAATATTTGGAGTTGATACGTTAGATACAGAATATAGCCAGGGCGCTCCTTCGTCTCAAAATCTGAATAGAACAATCTTTATTATTTGAGTCGGTTCTTTCGGGCAGTTATCAAAAGAGGGCAATTGCTTCGAATTTGATCAATTGAGATATCTGGAAACAATAACAATATCAATATAACAATAATATAGATATTTCATTCGAACATTCGAATTCAAAGTGGATTCTTTTTTTCTATTTCTGTATTCTTTTTAGATTCAAGGACTAAGCACTGAATCAAAAAAAAAAACAGAAACTAGATTCATGGGCCCCTACCTTATAATATAATGAAAGGCATGCTTGATAGAGAGATTAGATCACATAAAGTCAACGAATGAGGTGGGTTCATTAACAATTCACAGATGAAAAAATGGCAAAAAAGAAAGCATTCACTCCCCTTCTATATCTTGCATCTATAGTATTTTTGCCCTGGTGGATCTCTCTCTCATTTAATAAAAGTCTGAAATCTTGGATTACTAATTGGTGGAATGCTAGGCAATCCGAAACCTTTTTGAATGATATTCAAGAAAAGAGTATTCTAGAACAATTCATAGAAGTAGAGGAACTCTTCCTGTTGGACGAAATGATAAAAGAATACCCGGAAACACATCTACAAAAACTGCGTATAGGAATCCACAAAGAAACGATCCAATTGATCAAGATGCACAATGAGGATCGTATCCATACGATTTTGCACTTCTCGACAAATCTAATCTCTTTCGTTATTCTAAGTGGTTATTCTATTTTGGGGAATGAAGAACTTCTTTTTCTTAACTCTTGGGTTCAAGAATTCCTATATAATTTAAGCGACACAATAAAAGCTTTTTCTATTCTTTTATTAACAGATTTATGTATCGGATTCCATTCGCCCCACGGTTGGGAACTAATGATTGGCTATATCTACAAAGATTTTGGATTTGCTCATAATGATCAAATCATATCTGGTCTTGTTTCTACCTTTCCAGTCATTCTAGATACAATTTTTAAATATTGGATCTTTCGTTATTTAAATCGTGTATCTCCGTCACTTGTAGTTATTTATCATTCAATGAATGACTGAAAATGATTCACGGATTCAATTATAATCTTTCCTTACTTTCTATATAAGCAAAGCATGCAAAGTCGTACTTACTTTATTCTTTATTCTTTCTACCCATCAGGAGACTCCTCTATTTCAGTCATTTTTTTTTTTTTCAGTAAAAGTAAATAGCAGAATCGTGGATAGGGAACTATACTAGTGACCTACCTAATTTTATTGTAGAAATTTTCGGGATCAATGATTGGACCATGCAAACTAGAAATACTTTTTCTTGGATAAAGAAGGAGATTACTCGATCCATTTCCGTATCGCTCATGATCTATATAATAACCGAGGCATCCATTTCAAATGCATATCCCATTTTTGCGCAGCAGGGGTATGAAAATCCACGAGAAGCAACTGGGCGTATTGTATGTGCCAATTGCCATTTAGCTAATAAACCCGTGGATATTGAGGTTCCACAAGCGGTACTTCCTGATACTGTATTTGAAGCGGTTGTTAGAATTCCTTATGATATGCAACTGAAACAAGTTCTTGCTAATGGTAAGAAAGGGGCTTTGAATGTGGGTGCCGTTCTTATTTTACCGGAGGGGTTTGAGTTAGCCCCTCCTGATCGTATTTCGCCCGAGATGAAAGAAAAGATAGGCAATCTGTCTTTTCAGAACTACCGCCCCACTAAGAAAAATATTCTTGTGATAGGTCCTGTTCCTGGTCAAAAATATAGTGAAATCACCTTTCCTATTCTTTCCCCAGACCCTGCTAGTAATAAGGATGTTCATTTCTTAAAATATCCCATATACGTAGGTGGAAACAGGGGAAGGGGACAGATTTATCCCGACGGGAACAAAAGTAACAATACAGTTTATAATGCTACGGCAACAGGTATAGTAAGCAAAATCATACGAAAAGAAAAAGGGGGGTACGAAATAACCATAACGGATGCATTGGATGGACATCAAGTGGTTGATATTATTCCCCCAGGACCGGAACTTCTTGTTTCAGAAGGTGAATCTATCAAACTCGATCAACCATTAACAATTAATCCTAATGTGGGTGGATTTGGTCAGGGGGATGCAGAAATAGTACTTCAAGATCCACTACGCGTCCAAGGCCTTTTGTTCTTCTTGGTATCTATTGTTTTTGCACAAATCTTTTTGGTTCTTAAAAAGAAACAGTTTGAGAAGGTTCAAGTGTCCGAAATGAATTTCTAAATCAGAAACATCAAATTTGTAAACAAAGAACAAATTCTTTCTGGCAATTAGGTTAGGTATGATGAAAAAAGTATGAAAAGTCTTTTGCTTGTTTATATTCTTTCTCTAGGAATTACTTTTCCCGCATTCAAAATATGTATATTGTGAAGAAGACTATTTGTCTTTACTTTTTTTTTTTCTTTTTTCAATCTAAATTGGATTAAATTGGAGGGGTGTAATTCTATTCCTATTGTCAGATTGAAATGTCACAGAATGGGTTTTGTTTTCTAAATTCAATTTGATTAGATACTAAACATAAGATAAGTAAGCGGAGAATATAAAGGAAGGATAAATGAGGGGAACAAATAATTACAGGGACTATTCTTCGTCTTCGTAGCCTTCGACACAAGAAAAGGAATTTTACACATCCTTTTCTTGTGTTGTGTCGAAATAATAACAATTCTGGAACCCGTTCGTCAAAGATTTCTATTCTTAGTTTAGATTTTTCCAGATTTTTCATAACCCTTTCTTTTTTTTTTTTGATTTACTTATAATAGATAATAGATATTTTTTTTTTAATAGATAATAGATATTTTTTTTTTGATTTACTTATAATAGATAATAGAATAAGTAATAAGGATAATATAATAAGTATAAAATAAGTCTAAACTAAATAAGTAAAATATAAAATATAATAAGTAATGGACAACCAAAAAAAAGAAATATAAATAAAGAAATATAAATATTAAATATATATTGTGTCATCCAATTGAGTGATTCCTTTTTTTTTTTTCTTCTAACCTTGAAAGTCTCGATAGATACTATCGAAGAACAGATTCTATGAATCAATTAATTGAGTTCATTTTTCAAAAAAATCATCGGAAAAAGTGATCCATTTGTTGTCATTTATACGACCAAAATATTATGATCATTAAGAATTCAACGGGACCCTTCCTCGCGAATCAGACAACGAAAGAGGAGGGGGGCCCCGTTGAGTTCTTACACTTTCATGCCTATAACTTAGTTCATCCCATTATTACATCTTATATTCCATATTAGAGGGACGAACCCAATCCAGAATATGAACCATAAAAGAAAATACCTATTAAACCGATCACAGGAATACCAGTTACCGTACCTATTATCCAAAGAGGAATCCTTCCAGTAGTATCGGCCATTTATCCCGCTTCCCTCCGCATTTCATCAAGTGGTCGTGCTAAAGACATAAACAGTCATAGATAATTATGAGATACAATCCTTCCGAATGGGATAAGAGAATTCCTACTATTATTTAATATTCTACTACTCTTTTTTTTTTCTTAATTGAAGAAATAATTGGAAAATAAAACAGCAAGTACAAAAATGAGTAATAACCCCCAGTAGAGACTGGTACGATTCAATTCAACATTTTGTTCGTTCGGGTTTGATTGTGTCATAGCTCTATAATTAATTCGAATTAGGTTTATCGTTGGATGAACTGCATTGCTGATATTGACCCCAAAAAAGAAACGGTAGGTACAGCCAGTCCGTGAACAGCCAACCATCGCACTGTAAAAATTGGATAGGTTCGATCTATGGTCATTGGGCCCTCCTAAAAAGATCTACTAAATTCATCGAGTTGTTCCAAAGAATCAAAACGGCCAGTTATTAATGGAATTCCTTGTCGGCTCTCTGTAAAATACTCGTTTGGACGAGGGCTTCCAAACACATCATAAGCTAAACCTGTGCTGACGAATAACCAACCCGCGATGAATAGGGAAGGTATAGTAATACTATGAATGACCCAGTATCGAATACTGGTAATAATATCAGCAAAAGAACGTTCTCCTGTGCTTCCAGACATGCTGAGCTCCACATATTCTTGTAGGGGATCGATTCCGTAAAAGATGGGATCAGTAAACGGAAATTCACTGAAACTCAATCTTTGTGAGATCGTCAATATTGTACCAAAGGTATTTTTAGAGTATACCGAATCAGTATAGCTATCCTTCTTCTGACACAGCAACGCAATTTCAGACAGTATATCGACATGAAGTGCTAGATAATTTCTTTCTTCTTCTTGCTTGTCGATGTATAACCACGTATCATGCAATAGAAAATTCCTGAAATTCCTGGAATATAATAAATATAATATATAATATAGGGGTTCTATTATTGGCTTGGGCCTAGAAACGGAAGATCAGGTAACCCGTGAATCCAACGAGTTGGTTTATAATAATTCATGAAGGAAATTATCATATTTCCGCAAGTCAATTAGATGCGAAATCTAAAAATTTACTTTTTTCATAGTTGCACAAGGGGTTTTGTTTTTTGTTGTAAGCCCTCCTTTTTTCTTTTTTTTAAGGAATTGCTTAGTCGTCTAGTAACAAGTAAGAGTAGTCGATAGTATTAGATATAGATAAAAAAAAAAGAACAAAGAATAAAATAAAAAAAAAAAATTCTACTAATCAATATTTGTGAGGTGGCCTTTCTTGTATTCTTGTATTAGATCCAAAGGGTTTTTCTTGACCTAACTACAAAGATGATGAATCGATTTTTTTTTCTTTTCTTGGCCTGCCGCTCTATTTTTGTGAATAACGTTTAGAATGATTGATGAATCAAAAAATACCAATTGAACTTATTATTTCAATTGGTATTTTTGCTTATCCCCGTCTCGTTTAAAAATTGAAACTTAGGTAAGTGCTTTATAAACATATGTATAAAAAGAACATATTTCATTTAGCCCCTTCATGCCTACTATAACTAGTTATTTCGGTTTTTTACTAGCGGCTTTAACTATAACCTCAGCTTTATTTATTGGTCTGAGTAAGATACGACTTATTTGAAAATTAATTGAATGAACGAACAATTCATAAAAACAACGCTTTCTGTCCTATTCCATATATTCTATAATATTCTATAGTTCCTTACCGTGTTAATTATCGATTATTAGTTATTGATATTCAGGGGCACTAGAGATTAATATTTAGGGATAGATATTACCTTTCTTTTTCTCCTTTCAAATAAATTGAAATGATTGAAGTTTTTCTATTTGGAATCGTCTTAGGCCTAATTCCTATTACTTTGGCTGGATTATTCGTAACCGCATATTTACAATACAGACGTGGTGATCAGTTGGACCTTTGATTAATTAACATCTCTTTTTTTGACTTTTGACTGACCCCTTTCTTTAATTCTTTAATTTTATATCTTTAATTTTATAAAAATTTTATAATTTAAATTTAATAATTTAATCCAAGGAGATCAAATTCGAATTGCTGTTCAATTTTTTTTTTTTTCAGTTCGGTGTAATTTTCGACCTAATAAGAGCCGAATCGCGCTCTGTAGGATTTGAACCTACGACATTGGGTTTTGGAGACCCACGTTCTACCGAACTGAACTAAGAGCGCTTTCTTATCATAATAAATATCATAATAAATAAGACTGTAAAAAAGAGGATTCTTTTATTTTATAACCCCAATACATCGCGCACACCTACTCCTATCATATATCATATATAATATGAGAAAATGATAGATTATGTATGCTTAATTTTAATCAATCTAAAACGACTCCCTCGTTACTGCTCAAAGGAGAAGTAATAGGTAGGGATGACAGGATTTGAACCCGTGACATTTTGTACCCAAAACAAACGCGCTACCAAGCTGCGCTACATCCCTTTCAATTGGCCTACAATGTCATTGTAGAGAATCCCTGTCTTGTTTTCCACACCCTTATTTCATCTATTGATATACAAAAATTATCTTTCCATTTCCTCTTTTTGGTCTCATATAACAACCATATAATGAATAATAAATGAATATTTTTGGCGGGAATTCTCAGGCGGAAAGGGACCTATTTTGCTGTTTTAAGAAATGGAAAATCTTATCTATCGAATCCTTGTACATTTAAATTTTAATTAGGAATTCCGGGTACAAATATACAAATATAAGTGGTCTTTAACCACACATACATGTGATTATATATGTATTACCTTAATGTAATACGATAAAGAAGGAGGATTTAAAATGCGAGATCTAAAAACATATCTTTCCGTAGCACCGGTACTAAGTACTCTCTGGTTCGGTTCTTTAGCGGGTTTATTGATAGAGATCAATCGTTTCTTCCCGGATGCGTTAACATTCCCTTTTTTTTAATTCTAGTTATTGCCACGGGACGGGGCGAAAAGATTAGATCGAGATACAATCAAATATCTGTGACTACTCTCTCGCCCCCCTTTATTTTAGTTTAGTTTTTTTTTTTAGAATTAGATAAAATAAATAAGGAAGGTAGAACGAAAAAGTGGATTCAACCTCACCGAAATTCGGGTTCAAGCTCCAATTAAATTACTAGTAGAGCGAAAAGAGAAATGTGGCTGGAACAACAGTATCCTACAAGATACTTAAAGAAAATACCGTACTGTGATTTGATTCTAAATAGAGTTAGAAATCGTTGTATTACTTATTCTTATTATTTACTATTACTATAAATCTATATTGATTTACTATATTGATTGCAACGAAATCTTTCAGGATTTGGTTTTGAGTTAGCAACTTTTATTTTTTTTTCATTCCTTTCTTCTTCGCTTTTGATCGGAAAATAGAAAAGTTGGGTAACTTAAAAACTCAAAGGAGGTTCATGGCCAAGAGTAAAGATGTCCGAGTAACGATTATTTTGGAATGTACCAGTTGTGTTCGAAAGGGCCTTAATGTTAATAAGGGATCAACGGGCATTTCCAGGTATATTACTCAAAAAAATCGACACAATACGCCTAGTCGATTGGAGTTGAAGAAATTCTGTCCCTACTGTTACAAACATACAATTCACGGGGAGATAAAAAAATAAAGCGGCTCGTATATGTCACCCCTTCCCGAGAATATGAAAATCTGACAGAAAATTATGACATTAGGTATAAATATATTAAGTATATAATTAGTTATAGATATAACGCATATTTTATTTATATATTTAAATAAATAATAAAATAAACAAACCAAATCCTGTTTATTATATTCATTCTATAAACCAAATCCTGTTTATTA